CGGGTCACTGTGTTCTTCAGTCCGGCTGTCCTACAGAACATGGTGGCCGTTAAAGACAAATTTAAAATCCCGATGATGCTACAGGTGAGGTAACCAGTCTGTGTCCAGATGGGATATATTTAGGGTCCCTGGACTGAAGGAGGGTGTGGGCAGAAAAGAAACCATTTGTGTATGTGTTTCAGGTATGTGTGCATGTGTGAAGGTCGGAGGTCAACTGCAGATGTCCTCTCCATTGTCCTCCACCTTATCATTTGAGGCAGGGTCTCTCACTGAATGACAGCTTGGCATCTGGACTCAGCTGGCCAGCCAGGGAGCCCCCGGGGTCTGCCTGCCCTGTGCAGGCCACCACACCCAACTTTTTACCTGGGTGCTGGGGATCTGAACCCAGGTCCTCATCCTTTTCTACCAAATACCCCCTGAACCATCTCCCTAGCCCCAGGCCAAGTGGATTAAAAACAAACAAATTGAAAGCAATTTATAATGTACCAAGCATCACAAACTCGATCCAATGCAAGCTGTGCTACATAGAAGGCCCTAACCAGACATTTTCACTTTGTAACAATAAGAAAAAGTTGAAGACTCCGAGGACTGACAGACGCATGAACCCTGGCATCTAACGTGACCAATCCTCAGCTGAGGTCTTGTCACAGACTCTTTAGTGCCCCACATGGCTTCTCCTGTCTCCAGGGTATAATAGCCCTAGCAGACTTCTTCTGAGCACAGAAGGGGCACACACAGATAGACGGCTCTATTGCAGGAAAACGTTAGACTTTCTGTACTGCAGTTCCCGAGAATGAGCAGGAACCGCCCCGCCTTTCAAGTGAGGTCCTGGATACTTACACACCAACTCCCGGTATGACGTCCTGGCTTGGGCAGGTGTGGCATTACCCGGTAGAGAGAACTGAGCACAGTCTCTAGCCTTTCCCACTCTGTGATTCAGAACAGGTCATTCAACAATCTCAGCTTTAGCTCCTCCCACAGGAAGTGGACGAGCCCCCTTAGTTTGTTCTGATGGCCTGGGAACTTAGACTCCAGTATTGTGTTCTTCAGTGTGTGTGTGTGTGTGTGTGTGTGTGTGTGTGTAGGAGTGCGCATGCACGCACGTACACACAGATACATATATGTTTGCATGCATGTGGGGACCAGGGATCAACCACAGATATCCTCAAGACCTTGTTGTGAGATATGGCTCTCACTGGCTTGGACCTCAACAAGTGAGTTAGGTTGACTTGCCAGGAGCTGTGGGGATTGGCCTGTCTCCACCTCCCCAGTGCTGGGACTACAAGCACTAACTATTGCCCCAGCTATTTTGTGGTTCTGGGGTGTGACTCAGGTCTTCATGCTTGCAGGGCAGGCCCTCTCCTACCTGAGGCATCTCCCCCACCTGGTTTTTAGGACATGGCCAACTGAAAGATGGCTAGGGAAAAGATGGCTTTGGAGGGGGTGGGGACCCGGTGAGTAACTGCTCCCTCCACCAGGACACTGCCCCTCTCCTGGGGTCCCTGGGCTTCCTGGCCCCTTCAACGTGGTCTCCATCCTTGAACCCAGCTACTGAGGCCCTCATTCCTCCATTCCCTTTCAGCCCACTCTCCACTCTCCAGAATGTCAATCAACATTTCACGAAAGAGCAGATGCAAAGAATGTGGCATTGTGTGTCCTAGAGTCTCGGCCCCGATCCCGGGGGAGCTCAAAAGCTACCTGAGAGCAAGAAAATGCCCAATCAAAAGGAATGTGGCGTTATTTCTTTAAAAGAAGGTGTAAGTGTGTGTGTGTGTGTGTGTGTGTGTGTGTGTGTGTGTGTGTGTGTGTGTGTGTGTGTGTGTATGGGGGGGAGAGGTATGTGAGCATGTGTGAGAGTTTACGAGTGTGTGTGAATTTTCTCCGACCCTGCGCTTCATTGACAAGCACAGAGAATGTCAGAAACGGGTGCCTTTGTTTATCTGAGGGTTTGAGAGAGCATAGATGTTTGTTGACCAGTCTGTTGACATAGAAATAAGCTTTCTGGGCCCATGAGTTGGCTCTGTGGTAAAAGGCACGTGCCACGAAGTCTGATGACCTGAGGTTGGATCCCTAAGACCCACATCGTGAAAGAAAAGAACCGATACTTGCTTGGCAGGTTGTGCTCTGACCTCCACGGCTCTCCCCTGGGCCTCCAGAGAAAGAACAAGGAAATGCAACCATTGATTTTAGAAAGCGCTCCCTGGTGGAAGTGGAAGTCTTGAAGCCCCTGCGCTGTGTAGATCAGATGCACCGCCTAGAAACAGCCCAGGGCCCTGTCACCTGAGAACTCCTAAAGCCTGGAAGATTTGCTTCCTGCCTCTTCCTCACCTCAGCATTTGCCCTCAGTGGTCTGGGGATTCGTGTTCCTATCTGGGAGGATTTGCAGCTACCTCATGCTATTTCCAAACTTGGTCCAGTAAAACAAGGAACTCCTCCCCCTGGGCCGTAACACAGTTGGTAAAGCGTTTGCACACTCTGCACAAAGCCCAGGCACTCCATCAACTGGGCACGGTGGTACACACCTGTCACGCCAGGACTTGAGAGTTAGAGGCAGGAGGATCAGTTTATCCCTGTCTACACAGTAAGCTGAAGCTAGTCTGGGCTACAACGAGACCCTGTCTCAATAACAAAACAAGGAGCCTGGGAGTGAGTAAATAAGTGAGTTAGTAAGGCTCTCGCCATGCAAGCCTGAGGTCCTGCTTGATCCTCAGAGCCTGTGTAAAAAGCCTGGCAGGATGGCTGCCATTTGTGACCCAGCACTGGTGAGGTGGACACAGGCAGCCTGGAGTTCGCTGTCCAGCCAGCTTACGTGAGAGCAGCCAAGTTCCACGTTTAGTGACGCTGTTTCCAAGCATAAAGTGGAGAATGACTAAGGAAGACACCCGTGCCTCCCCTCCCTGTGTGTGCGCGCGCACATATAAAAATGTACACACACAAAATTAAAGCAAAAAGCAAGCAGTAAAACAAAGAGACAAGGGAATCCTCTCAAGAACGTGGAGTGTGGAGCCCATCAGGGGTGAGTAGGGTCCCCAGAATTTCGTCAGAGCCTCTCCTTCCCCCATCTAACCTGAGTTTTAGGGAGGGAACTAACCTTCACAGAATTCTCACTTCCAGGGGTCCAGGTTCATCTATGAGAAGCACCCACACCATTGTGTGTGTGTGACTCGGGGATCCCAGCCATCTCATCTGTAACAGGGTCCTTGGACCAGCCACTGGCAGGCCAGTCATTGTGACCCGGTATGTGTCCTGGACTCTGATGTGTCCTGGACTTTTTGATAGCTGGGTGTGGGAAATGTCGTGTCTAACCCGATTGGATCTATTTCAAGGGGTTGAGGACATGGCTCTGTGAGCAAAGTGCTCGCTGCTCAAGCATGGGGCCCTACCTGAGTGTGGTCCCCAGCACCCACATAAGAAGCAGGCTTGGTGGAGAGGACGATCTCACGGGCTTCCTGACTAACAAGCTTGTCCACCTGAACTTGTGAGTTCCAAGGTTAGTGAGAAAAAAGATAAGGTGGAGCACTGACCTCTGCTTTCCACAGGCATGTATACATGTATACACATGTGTACGCACACATAGACACGCATGCGTGTACTCACGTAGTCATACATGTGTATAGACATATATAGACACTACCCCCACCCCAGATATGAGTAATGTCACATGGTAAGAAGAGAAGTAACTGTTGGTTTTAGCACCTGCTTTAAAGGATGCATTTTGTAGTGGCTTTTGAACGCTGGGCCTCAGTTTCCCCACCTGAATGCATCTCCCTAAGGCGCCTGCCGTTTTAGGTAGCAGCCTCTGCCTTCTGACTGTAGGACTTTGCCAGACACTGCTTGTTCTGAAAGGAGGAAACAAAGAAAGAAGTTTCCAGAACTAACACAGCTGGATTCATTTCATCTTTTAGCTGGATTTCCAATTGTCCCCATGCAGAATGTTTAATCTCGTAGTTAAAAAGCCACTGAAGGGGTGGGGGGCTGGGGTGGGGGTTAAGAACACATACTGCCCTTGCAGAGGACCCAAGGACTCAAGTTGGGTTCCCTGCACCCATGATGGATGCCTCAAAACCACCTGTGACTCCAGTTCCAAGACCTCCGGCCAGCGCTGGCACCTGCTTTCCAACGCACGTACATGCACACACACGTAAACAACATTTCAAAATTCGTAATAATAATAATAATAATAATAATAAAAGCTTAAGCAGCTTTCTTTCCTCCTCTGATGATGCAGGGAATAGCATCTCCCAGCAAATTCATTAGGCCTGGGGGCCTTAGGCCTTAAGGGAATTCAGCAGGCGGCTTGAGTTAACTTCCAATCCTGTTTGGACAGTGACGCCACCGCCTGCCTGTCAGTCTGATCTGGCAGCCCCGATCCCTGAGCCACCCACATCTGGAACTAGAAGTGGACAAGTGGATTCCAAAGCCCAGCCCTGCCTCTGTCCCACTTCACTCTTAGCCTTGGGCCACAGGGACATGCAACCCTCTGCGCATCCCACATTCGCACACCCTCCACATTTGCACACCCTCTGTGCCCCCCTCTCCTCTGCTGCGCGTCAGCTGTGAATTCTGACAGCTAAGGCAGGTGGGTGCCAGCTTTACTAGGACATCCTCCACTGCACGGCGCTGTTGGAGGCACCCGGCTGTGGTGAGCCACCCCTAGCCTCGGTTCAAGGTACAAGAACCCCCGTGACATGCTTTGTGTCTACTCTGGGAGCCGGGCAAGAAGACACACCCTCCCCACCCTCTTGCCTCATCCCTTGGACTCTGAGACACGTTTATGTACTGTGGCATCTGCACCACGCCAAACATCTGGAAGGAAATGGGGATGGGGTGGGGTGGGGAATCCACCAGGAATTCAAATGTTTGTTCTGCACAGTATCTTTGAACATGGAGTCAGGGAAACTTGACATCTTTAGCCAATTGCTTGGTGGTGTGTAGACTCAAGCCAGCATATAATCCGATAAAGGATGTCCCTCCCTGCCCTCTCTCTGATCATGCAATCGTTCACTGGACAGCCTGGGAATGTTCTCTCTGTTCTTCTCAGATGTTTCTAAAATCAACAGGAGCCAGCGGAAGAGCTATTCAACCAGCCACACTGGGGATAGTCATATCCAAGAACCAAGACGTTTCAGAGGAAGAGTGCTGTGTTTAGGGCAGGTCTTCTACATTTATCTCTCTGTTTATATGCCATCTCATTGTCTCCTTAGTCTCCCAGAGCTCATGTCTTTCATATTGACCATCACATAAGCACGGCATGCCTCAGTGTGCCATCACCCACAAAACGGAATGGTCCTGCTGGTCCATCGCTCCTCCGGCCAAATATGACTCCCTTTTGTCCTAGAGAGGAAAGAATCAGAATGAATAGAAAACTGGAGGGTTACAGCATCTTAAAGAAGAAGAAGATTTCAGCTTACAGGATTAATCGGGGCTGAAGAGATACTTGAGTCATCAAGGATGTACCTGAGTTCAATCCCCAGGACCTTTGCAAAAGAAAGCTGGCCATGGCAGCACACATATGTAATCCCAGAGCTGGGAAGGTGGAGACAGACTGGCCACTGGAACTCACCGGCCAGTTAGCCTTGCCAAGCTTCAGGCCAGTGAGAGAGCTGCTTTCAAGAAGATGGTGGGCAGTGCCCGAAGACAAAAGGCTGTCCTCTGGCCCCTACACACATACACATGAATCTTCACACACATGTGCTTGCACGCCCAGGCACACACACATACACAGAAACACATACATGTAAATACACGAGGATTAATCAGGCATTCAAACACTAAGGAATGAACTGTCTTATAACATGTCTTTCTCTGTCCCACCAGCCAGCTCCCAAATAATGACATAGAGACTTATTAGTTATGAAAGCTTGGCCTTAGCTTAGGCTTGAGTTATAAGAGCCACTAGCTCTTATAACCTCAATTAACCCATTTATATTAATGTACATTTTTTTTTTTTTTGCCTCGTGGCTTTTTACCTTTCTCTCAATCTGTATGCCTGACTTCCTCCGTGTCTTGTCGGTGTCTGATGTGAACATGGATTCATCTACCTCCTTTCTCTCTGCCCGCCTATACCTCCTGCCTAGCTATTGGCCATTCAGCTCTTTATTAAACCAGTCACAGTGGTATGTCTTCACACAGGGTACAAATACCCCACAACATTCTCTTCTCTCTTCCAGCTTTTGTTTTCAGTCTTTGCTGATGTCAGGCATCCAGGGAAGCTGCAAACACAGCGCCTCACCTACCCCCCTCCTCAATGCTGGCCCCATTTAACAAACCCTCAAAATCAAGGGCACCCACCCAACCCAAGGGGAAGCACAAGAAGGGCCCTTGGGAGGGGGATGCTTGACTCAGGCTTGTGGGGACCTAGGAATGGCTTGCAAGCAGCATCCTTTAGTCAACAGGCCTAGGCCTGCGACACGAACAACTTCAAGATCACAAGCCTCCTTCCTGGCCCACTGCTCACTGAAGCCTGAGACCTTGTTCCCGACCAGGCTCTCTTCCTTTGTCCTCACCGGATATTCTAGAGTGCTCTGCCTTTACGTCTGTGCTCACACACGTCCTGCCTGGGGAGCCACTCTCCCGCAGACAGGGCCAGTCTCACGGGCCTGTGACCTGCGTCATCTCACAAGACGCACCCTGAGCTGTTAACACCTTCGGGTTCATGATCATTTCAAACTCTCTGACCCTGGGCTGGAGAAATGGCTCAGTAGATCAAACGCTTGCCGTGCAAGTATCAGGACTCGAGTTTAGGTCCACAAAACGACACAGTCTGTAATTCCATTGTTCCTGTGGTGAGAGGAAAAGCCACGGAAGCTCATGGCTAAGGCAGCGAGCCTGGGGGAGGCAGTGGCTAACCACCAGAGACCCCATTTCAAACAAGGTAGAAGAGACAGACAGACACACACGGCTGTGCTCCGACCTCCATGGGGATGCTCACACTCAGAACACACACCCCTGACCGTGAGCTCTCTAGGTGAAGCCTAATGGGACAGTGGAGTCTGAGCATGAGCAGAGATGAGCTGAGTCCCAAATGGTGTGGAAAAGGTCCCCGAGCACAGACTCCCAGAAACTCACAACCTGGGGACATCAGCAACGTCTAAGTGCAGGATCAGTGTGTCATGCCCATGACTGCCTAGGTGACAGCCCCAGAGGCCACCCTTTCCCATTGCATCACAGCCTGCTTTGGGAGCAGAAAGACGGTCCCTGCATTCCTGGAACACAAGTGACCGAAGAACCTGCCACATCCTCTCTCAGTTGGATGACGACTCTAGATCACCAGCCACTTCAGCTGGAAGTGATGACCCAGGAGGAAGGGGAAAGACAGGACGCCCAGAGTTCCTTTTCCTTTGCGTCTTTCCTTTCCCAGCAATGATCTCAGGGCAGACAGTGTGTTGTGCAAGACACGAAACGATGGTAGCGACCTGAGTGTCTGCAGGGTCTGGTGGGAACGATAAACTCCGAAGGCCGAATTGTGTCACTATGGTGGCTCTGAGTAGGGTTGACTGTTTTTACCTCTGCATTTAAACCCCTCACTGTATAAAAGACTGAAAAGTGAAATGCATGCTAATGGTTTTTTATTTATTTAGAATGACAGGAATTAATAAGCAAACACATCAGCAAGTTGAAAGAAGACAGTAAACTCACAAAAGCTTAAAATATTAAATGTTAGCTTTAACGAGACTGTTCCCTGCTCTTTAGTGGGCAGAGGTACACCTTTCCTCTTGTGCTGGGACTCAACAGTTATGCAGCCTGAGGCCAGGGATGTAACTCAGCTAGAGCACAGGGTGGCGTGTGGAGGTGGGGACTCTGAGTTCCATCCCCAACTCTGCCAACTGAGTCAGTAAAATCAAGGGACTAGGGAGACCGCTCAGGTGGTAACGTGCCTGCCCAGCCAGCAGGAGGACCTGATTCAGATGCCCAGCCCTGATGTGAAAAGCTGGGCACCACAAAGAGCATCTGTAACCCCATCGCTGGAGTGCCAGAGACAGGCAAATGCCCAAAGCCAGCCTGTCTAGCCAAATCAGTGAGCTCCAAAACTGGGGTGGAGAATGGTTATGAAGACACCCAGGGTTTGGTCACAGCGGCAAAGAGCAACCAATACAAACTTGACCTGAACAAATGGTAATCACACTAACAGGCCGTGGTTAATCAATGGAACCCTGGCAAACGGATCAAAGATAACAAGATTTAAAAAAAAAAACATAACATTGTGTGTGTGTGTGTGTGTGTGTGTGTGTGTGTGTGTGTGTGTGTGTTGTGTTCATGTGTGCTCACATGACATGGTATGGGTGTGGAGGTCAGAGGACAACTTGAGGAAGTCGGTTTTCTTCTTCTGTCCTGTGGGTCCCAGGGGTTGACCCCAGGTTGCCAGGCTCGGTGGCTAGTGTCTTTACCTGCTGAGCCGTCTCGCCAGGCCATGGTGAATGATTAATACATCATGAGTGAGCCAAGCTTTCTAACATTTCTCCTGTCTGGCCAGCCAAAACAAGAGTATATTGGGAAAGGTGAGACATGTCACAGAGCCACTGTGGAATCCAGGGACACTCCCGGGTACCCAGTCTGCTGCTCCAGTGCTCCAGTGCTGCTGATGTTGGAGGCAGCAGGTAGCTATACCATAATGCCTGCCAGGTTGCTTAAAAGAGGGAGCCAGTGGCTAATTCAGGCATGGTCTGGGCTCTGAAACTGCAAACAGGCAGTGGCCCCTCCTCTGACCTCAAGGAGCACAGTGTGGTGGGCAATAGAGTTCCAGGAACAAGGTTAGTCTGGTCCTCTCCCACCCGGGTAACACATGAGTGAAAAACCCATGTAAGGGCAGCACGTGCCTCTAAAGTGGACAGTGCCACAGGGCCCCAAGGTCACCCTGGCAGGCTGAAAGCTGAGGCTGATGGAAGGACGTCTCTCAGCATGGGCAAATAGGGAACTGGCGAGTGCAAGCCCTGTGCTGAAGTCTGGATTTGGTAGCTGGAGGCTGGCAGGGAGCTGCAGTGTGCAAAGATCTCTTTATTCTCTCTCTCTCTCTCTCTCTCTCTCTCTCTCTCTCTCTCTCT